GGAACTATGATGTTATAATCTCGACCTCTCCCCTATTGCCTGAGGTCGACCCACGTGTCTCCCTTTGGTGGTTTGCTGTGCAGAAGTCCCAAACACCACTAAGGACTACCTGTGCTGTGCTAACCATTGAGTCCCAATATTTAGCTTTGTAAGCCACTGAGCTGCCATGGGCAAGAAACATTTTGAAATGTTTTCCTTACAATGATACAAATCATCTATAAAAATAGTTTTTAAAGCAAGTGTTTGAGTCTTTTTTTCCAGAGATTACTCTTCAGTAGAATTAGTTTTAATATAGATGTATATTTAAATAAGTTGCATATCTGTTTGATGGGATATGTTATATTCCTAACCTCTTCAGGTAAATATCATTTTCATTTAAGGTCATTACATGGAAACCTACACATAAAATGCTACATTTAAATCCTACTACATATAATTTACGCTAAACTTGGTATATAGTGCTGTTTTAAGCAGAAAGCAAAATAAATTCATTTTAGTGTGATTGGGGTTAAGAGGTCAAAGTTACAGAGAGTCAAAATATGGTTTTTGTTTAAAAAAATTGTATTAGAAACTTGAGATATGTGTTATGTTATTTTCTAATAACATAACACATATCTCAAGTTCGAAAAAAGAGAATATAAATGCATTTGGAAAACAAACACACAAAGTTACTCTTTAACAAAGAGCCTGATCTTGAGTTGAAACTCTAAAAATAAAATATAAAATTATGTCCAACGAAAATTCAACTCTTCTGCTTCTCATTTACAAAAGTATAGAAGCAGAAGGCTTCCCATTTGCTATGCAACAAACATTAAGCCTACCTTTTTTATTCCAATGAAATTTTAACAACTTTTAGATGACATGACCATAGTAAATGCATTAATCTTAAGTGTCCTTTTTATGGCAATTTGATTAGCTAATGTTAAGTGTTCTTTTTAGGACGATTAATTATAAACATAATTAGTGTTAAGAGTCCTTTTTATTACAACTTAAGTAACTAATGAATTAAAATTAAGCATCTTAGCCACACGGTCCCCTGGTAGAAAAATACGACGCGCCCCTGGTGGCCAAAACTTTGTACTATGATCTCGTTATCTTTGATGACAACACACACACACACACACAACTGTAGCGCCCTCAGGTGATAACAATTGGAACTATCACATCGTCATCTTTGATGACATCACCAACCCTGCACTCCACTGTGGTGGCATCCTTTGCCGCGATAGTTGGACCCAAACTACTGCCGACGTGTTCTGCAAAAGGTGGGTTCGGATATGAATCTCAAAATTTTCAGGCGCTTCTAATTTTTCTTTTTTCAATTTCAATAAAATTCTGGTATGAATATGAAAGTTTCCGGTTTGTTTGTAATATTCTTATGTAAAGACAACATAAATAATTTTATATCGAATCAAAGTGTTTCCAGTTTTTACTCATTGTTTTATGAGAACAGCACAATGTTCAGTTTTATTATACTTTTCCATGGAGAAATTTAGCTTCATATTTGAATTGGTGACTAAATTAAGTAAAGGTAGTTTAAGAATTTTACGTCGGATTTTGGTTTTGAGTTGTGTTTTTTATTATTATTGTTATTCTTAGTTGTGATGACATGTTAATTAACTAATGAATTAAAATTAAGCATCTTATCAACACGCCCCCTGGTAGCAAAAAAGACGACGCGCCCCTGGTGGGCAAAACTTTGTACTATGATCTCGTTATCTTCGATGACAACACACACACACACATTTAAATGCCACTAGGCAACGCAGTCCCTAAAAATGTTGTTTCCTTAGTGCAAAGCTACACAATGTGCTATTTGCATTCTGTTCACCGAGGCCCGGCATGGCCAGGTGGATAAGGCGCTCGACTCACAATCTGAGGGTCGCGGGTTCGAATCCGCATCCCACCAAACATGCTCGCCCTTTCAGCCGTGGGGGCGTTATAGTGTGACGGTCAATCCCACTATTTGTTGGTAAAAGAGTAGCCCAAGAGTTGGCGGTGGGTGGTGATGACTAGCTGCCTTCCCTCTAGTCTTACACTGCTGAATTAGGGACGGCTAGCGCAGATAGCCCTCGTGTAGCTTTGCGCGAAATTCCAAAACAAACAAACTGTTCACCGAATTAATGGAATCCTGGATTTTAGCTTTGTAGCTCTGTCGAAATATTGCTAACCCATTTAGGAACCTCAAAATAGGGTATTGTGTATGTCTTAACAGTCAGAATTAAGTTCCTTTTTTTTTACATGTGTTTACAGTGAGAAAAACATATTCTGTAAGTATCGGGCAAGAACTTTCTTAATATAAATTCATTTACGAAAAATCTATATTTATTCTATGAGCTAAAGTACTAAAACAATGTCAGTTATAAAATGTATTATAAAAGTAGAAATATTAAATACAAAAGATTACTTTACTATGTAAGTGGCATTAAGTTTGTTTGTATTTAAGCGTAAAACTACATGATGGACTATCTGCGCTGTGCCCATCACGTGTATCTAACCCTAATTTTTAGCGTATGAGTCAACCACTGGGGAGGGAGCAAATGGCATGAAGATAAGTAAAGACAAATAATAATGTATTTTTTATAAATCTATATACTAGCTTAGTGACACATTGTGAAATGTTTCCGGTAGAAAACGGTACACCATCTGAATGTTATGAAGTAATTTCTGTTACACTTACCTTGACTTTATAAATAGCTAATTGCAAAGTTTAAATTGTAATATGATATAACGCAAGATTAATATTCCTTTCTACAAAAATTTATATTAGTTCTAAATATTTTCATAGGAGGATGGCTACGAACTTTAACCGTCCAGTAGATAAAAACAATAATACAAAGTTTTAATATAGGATGGTTATCAAGTTTAACCATCCAATGATGACGAACAATTATACGAAGTTGTGGTATGAGGATGGCTATGAAATCTAACCATTCAGTGATGAAAAATAATAATGCAAAGTTATAATATAAAGTTGTCTATGAAGTTTAAGCATCCAGTGATGGCGGAAAACGATACGAAGTTTTAATATGAAGATGGCTATGAAGTCTAATCAACCAGCGATGATGGACAATGATACAAAGCTTTGATATGAAAATGGCCATGAACTGTAACCAACTAGTGATGACGGACAATGATACAAAGGTTTGATATGAAGATGGCTATGTAGTCTGACCAACCAGCAATAACAATGATTCGTAGTTTTGACATGATTATTTCAAACTTGTATATCATTGTTTGTCAGCAATGGTTGGTTAGACTTCATAGCCATCCGGATGGCTATGAAGTCTACCCAACCACTGATGATACAAATTTTTGATGTAAGGATGAGTACTAAGTCTAATTAACCATCGTTAACAAACCATGATACTAAGTTTTGATATGGTTTGTTTTTTATTTGGTTGTTAATAAGTACAAAGCTACACAATGGGGTATCCGTGTTCTGCTCATCACGGGTATCGAAACCCAAGTTTTAGCATAGTAAACCTGTAGACTTACCGCTGAGCCACTGGAAACAGTTTTGAGATGTGGATGGCAATGAATTTTTCCCAAGCAGAGATGACGGGCATTAATACAAAGTTTGATATGGCGGTGGTAATGAAGTTTAACCACCCAGTTCATTGTAAGATCCGTGCATAATTGTTATATTTTTGCATTGTATCACAAATGTTTTCCTTGCGTTATCATTATATTTCAATATTTTTTAACGCATGATTTCCGTTTCTTGTAAAGTCTGTATGTAATTGTTATATTACTATGTTCTATGACACATTAACTTCAATGTAATTGTCTGAGCTTGATTGACTATTATATTATTGTATTATTCGGCAGATGATTTCGGTTCAGTGTAAAGTCTATATGTAATTGTTATACTCGTATTTTTGCACATGGTTTCACTTCACTGCAAAGTCTATATCTGTTGGACATATTCATTATAAGAAAAACAAAGGCATGATTGCTGTATGTTTCCAACAAGCACGTCTCTCATATGTATGATGTTGTTGTTTTTCACTCATCACAGTGAACCTATACTTCTATAGGGTTATATTTATTTTTAGCGTCTTAAATACATCCCTTATTGTGGGAAGGGTAAGAATTCACGTCCTTAAACGCTTAAATGTAGAACAAGTAAATGTTCACACTCTTGCTACTTTCGTAAGGTGTGAATTCATAACCATTTTTAACATCGTTCCATACCCTATCTTCATTGTTTCTATAATCGCGTGTTGTAGCTATTGTTAGCGGTAGTGCATTGTCTTCATTGTTTCTATAATTACGTGATGCCACCATTGTTAGCACCGTTCTGTACATTGTCTTCAGTCTCTATAATCACGTGTTGCAACCATTACTAGCGTGAACGTGTAGCCTAACCAATGACGTCATAGCGATTGCAGCAAAAGATGTTAATATATTTTTTTAAAGAAAAAAAACTTAATCTTACTGCTTACTTTTGGTCTTGCCAATATTGAAGAGAGGTTAGTTTCAACTTTTTATATCATTTTCTACGTTACATGTATATTATAAACTAAATATTTGGAGATTCTCGATAAACGTTAATTCAACATATATATGACAGATGTGCAATATTAACTGTGAGAAAAATTATAGTTATCATTTATTTCGGTCCCCTTTCGGGGATTATCTTTTTTAACGTCTCACACCACTATACAGTAG